ATTGGGCTCCACGCAAGGCATGAAGCCTACTTTAAAAAGGCTGGGGAAGGGGCGCCTGGGTGGCGCAGTCGGTTAAGCGTCCGACTTCAGCCAGGTCGCGATCTCGCGGTCCGTGAGTTCGAGCCCCGCATCAGGCTCTGGGCTGATGGCTCAGAGCCTGGAGCCTGTTTCCGATTCTGTGTCTCCCTCTCTCTCTGCTCCTCCCCCGTTCATGCTCTGTCTCTCTCTGTCCCAAAAATAAATAAACGTTGAAAAAAAAAAAATTTTTTTAAAAAAAAGGCTGGGGAAGAAGGACTGGAAATTGTCTTTTACCTAACTATTAGAATTTGCTTTTGAGATATTTCTGTATCTTTGTTTATGGTGAACTTTTGTATGTGTTTACAGATAATGAAGGAAGAAAACACAGGAGCCGGAGCAGAAGCAAAGAGGTAATTAACACTTTGTAGTGAATAGGCACTTTAAAATTCTTGTAAAATATCTGGTAGAAATGTTTGTGTGAATATATGATTTCATCAAGGTAAGTACCAAAACTTGAAATTTAAAAGGTTAATTGGGTTATAAAATAAGCATGATATGGATTCATCATTGTTCAAGAAGATAGTTGTTTATATGAAAAGTTCATTCAAAAATTATTAATTTTATTATGTTGTGAAAATATTCACAATAAAAATTTCATATGAAGATTATAATTGGTTTTTTTAGGCCTGTCACACAGAGCTTCCATTAATCTGAGGTCCCGAGTCTCCTTATGCCTGACGACTGCTCAGGATTTTTAAATAGCAATCATCTTTAAGTAGCAATATCCTAGAGATCCGTGGGCTACTTTTTCTTTATGGAAGGTAACGAGAGTCCTCTTTTCGTTAGCAAACCAGTTCAATTTCCCTAAAAGTAGTATTGAATTTTGAAGTAAAAGGGTCTGTGAGGGACAGCTGGAAAGGTGGCGGTGACAGCAAAACTTGAGGAAAAAAGACAGCAGCTGTATTGCAGAGGAGTTAACTTGCTCGCCCACCTGAGAAGACAAGGGATGAGCCGACAAGGAAGAACAGAAGTAGGAGCCAAAAAGGGAGGAGAAGAATCTTATGGGGGCTGGGCAAGGGACTCCTAAAAAAAAAAAAAGAAAAAACGTGGGCAGGGACTTCACCTCTTCCCCTAATGGAAGCTCTGTTAAATTTTTAATTTAGGAGAGTTTTTGTGAAAATGACTATTTTGTTTAGCTCACATGATAACATTTCTATAATAAATCATACTCAGCGTGCTAATGCGCGAAGAGACTGAACTGAAGACGCTGCAGACTCAGATAGCAAAATAATAAGCCTACTTCATGATAAGGTAACTATTAGTCATTCAAACTCCTATTTCCCTTAAGTATATCTTAAATCAGTTAAGGGTTTTAATGTTTTTTTTTTTTAATAGTAATGTTATGTTTGGAAACCTGGATTGAAATAAACTCTAAAACCTTTGGAAGTTGAACCATTTAAAGCTTTTCCAGTTTGCCACTATATGGCAAAATCAAGGAAATAACTTTTATAAGTTCATATTATAGAGAACTGGCAATGAAAGTAAAATTTAGGTGTGTCTCCAGGTCTCTTGTTTTTCTGCAAAATATTAACTTACTATGATTCTTTTCAGATATATCATGCATGTTCCAAAATGTTTGGCCAAGTTTTTTGTTTTTAAGAAAAGTTAATCTTGAGTGGAAAGAAACATGCTATGGCCTGTTTGGGAAACATGAGATAAGTGTCCTGTTGTGGTAGAAAAGCAGTGTCCTGGGCATCAGAAGAACATGGGGTCTGGGTTCAGCTGCTACCATGTAGCTTTGTGACATTAGATCTTAGTATAGTCATACTTACAGTAAGGGGAATTTAGACCATCTGAATTTCCTTCCAGCTTTAAAATTGTGATTCTGAGATGTCTGGGATTTTAAGCCTTACCTAAAAGATGGGTTTGACAACTTAATGTGAGGAGATCTAATGTTTATCACTTGCTAATTTGGTGTGTGAGTGTAGGATGGAGACTTGATCATGCAATTAATTTTAGCTCAGTCTCTGAATGCAAATTTTGTGAAAGCAAAAGCCTTGGTTTTAAATCTTTCAGAGTATGGGGAAAGTAGGTATTGTATAATGGTGTAGGGATTAATTATATTATGCCTAGTTTGATTTTGTAAAAATTAAAACAGATACGGTTGCCATTTTCTACCCTAGGTACATGAAATGTAATAGAACTCCAAGCCCGTTGGGATATTGCAAGATGAAAAGTGATTGCATCACAGTTTAGACATTGGGAGAAAAATCAAGAGCCGTCTTTTAGAGAGAATGTGGCAGTATAGCTTTAAAAAGGACACTTCAACTCTGCGTAAAGTAACTTAAATTGCAGAAAATACTAATAATTAGTAAGATTAATCTTATTTAGCTACCTAATTGAAATGCGTTTTCTGGTGCATTTCTTTGTGTCCTGATCATCTTTGTTACTGTTTTTAAACGTAAATGATATGTACTCTGGTTTTAGAAGTTGATGTATATATGTGTATGTGGTTTGTTTCTCTAAAAGGTTTATTGGAAAATTTTGAAAGCTTTGATGTGTATCTCCCTTACTCTTTTAGATAAAAAAAAAAAAGAAACATCAGGGAATCCTTTTTTCTGATAATGATGGTTTTTCAATATTATTTCAACATTGAAAATCATTGTTTTAATTGTGTTAATTTGGGGAGGAAACTGCATTTGGGGGATTTATAAAGACAAAGATTAGTAGTATTCATCTGCAACATTGGGTGATGTGAAACTAGATCATTTTTTTTATTTGCCACACACTCCTAAGGTTACTAATGTTGCATCTCAACATTTTTGTCTACTGATACCCATACTAACTCTCTTTGTTGCACTATTTTCCTGAAAGAACCAACTTCTTCTTAAAACAGGCAAGAAGACATGAATCCAAAGATAAATCATCTAAGAAACACAAGTCTGAGGAACATAATGACAAAGAACATTCTTCTGATAAAGGAAGAGAACGACTAAATTCATCTGAAAATGGCGAGGACAGACACAAACGCAAAGAAAGAAAGTCATCAAGAGGCAGAAGTCACTCAAGATCTAGGTCTCGTGAAAGGTAAGTAGTTTGGGCATTTATAAGTGACTGCCATCCACAGAGCTATGTTATGGAAAGCTTCTCATTAATCCAGCAATACCCAAACAGTCTTAATTAGAAAATACATATATTTGGTGGGGCATCTGGGTGACTTGGTCAGTTGAGCAACTCTTGATTTTAGCTCAGATCATGATCTCATGGTTAGTGAGTTTGAACCCCACATCAGGCTCTGCACTGACAGGGAGGAGCCTACTTGGGGATTCTCACACGTATGTGTGCTCTCTCTCAAAATATGAAAGGAGAAGAAAATACATGTGTTTGTTAACTTGACCTATTCTCTTGCCTACTGATGTCCATTAGTTGCCGAAATCTTTGGGACATTGTTACCAGATAAAGGCAAAAATGGTGTCCAAGACTGGGGGGTAAAGGATGATGATTCACACATTCAGTTAGTGAAGTGCTTTTTTTGTTTGTTTTTAACTTTGTAATTTATCTGTTTCTTGTAGTTAAAAAGTTACATAGCTGAACTATGTTTAAGCCAATAAAATCCTTTTACATTGTTGGTGTAGAATTTGCTGATACTGTGTGGTATAGGTGAAAAGGTTTTTTTTAGAGACTGGGTCATGGCTGAAATTTTGTGGGAATTTTGCTTTAAGAAGCAGTGTTTAACATCATGTTTGGAGTTTGTGGAAATAGGTGGTATCAAACTGGGTCAAAATTTTTCAGTAATAGATTAACTTGTCATCTTTAAGTTGCATAAATACTCCGATGAGGCAATAGTAGACTTTAAACTATTAAACAGAATCTTAAGTTGGGGTAGGATGCATTGCATTTTTGGCATGTTACAGCTTTACTGTGTTTCTTCTGAGGCATCATCAAATAAGAATAAAGGCCCATTTGTTATAACTTCCTTCATTAAAAGCTTCAATTATCCTTTCTATATACAATACAGAGTAGTTTATAGCCTGATTTGACAGCACACACGGTAGATAATTAATTCATAATGTCTGTAGTTTGAAAAGATACACCTGTAAGTAACTACAAATTTGTGGGCTTTATTTTTAGGCGTCATCGTAGTAGAAGCAGAGAGCGGAAGAAGTCTCGATCCAGGAGTAGGGAGCGGAAGAAGTCAAGATCCAGAAGCAGAGAGAGGAAGAAATCAAGATCCAGAAGCCGGGAAAGAAAACGTCGGATCCGATCTCGATCCCGTTCAAGATCAAGACACAGGCATAGAAGCAGAAGCAGGAGTAGGACAAGGAGCAGAAGTCGGTAAGTAGTCATGATCATGAATAAAATTAGATAGGTCCCTCACAGGATCTGTTCATCTTCTCTCACTATGAAAACATCAAAATTGTGGATCAGAATTTTATTTAGAGTTATAAAATATATTGATCATGGGGCGCCTGCATGGCTCACTTGGTTAAGCATCTGAGTCTTGGTTTCAGCTCAGGTCATGATCTCGTGGTTCATGGGTTCAAGCCCCACGTTGGGCTCCCCACCATTACTGTGGGAGATTATCTCCATCTCTATGAAAATAAATAAACTTAAAAAAAATTTTTTTTTATCACATTCTGACCAATAAAGAACAAACCTGAACATTTGCATAGCATTCTTACATATATTTATTTAATCAGATACTCTGAAGTGTAGGTAGGAATAGTCCCATTAAAATCATAGTAGTAGCAAAACAATTGTTTTGTGAATTCAGACCATTGGACTTAACCTTAAGTAACTTGTCTAGGAAGCCTCAAATGATACAGTTATTATTTTTTTTTTTTAATTTTTTTTTTCCCAACGTTTATTTATTTTTGGGACAGAGAGAGACCGAGCATGAACGGGGGAGGGGCAGAGAGAGAGGGAGACACAGAATCGGAAACAGGCTCCAGGCTCTGAGCCATCAGCCCAGAGCCCGACGCGGGGCTCGAACTCCCGGACCGCGAGATCGTGACCTGGCTGAAGTCGGACGCTTAACCGACTGCGTTACCCAGGCGCCCCATGATATAGTTATTAAATAGTACTGTCAGGACCAAGTCCCAAGTGTGTCTGAATACGAGTGCTTAACCCACCACACTCTATATGCTATCTCAGACATTCAGAAAGATGAGCTTATTCAAACCTGACTTGTTTGAGGGGAGGCTTTAATTTGTTGAGACAGGAAGTGAAATAAGAGAAGGGCCACCTCGGTGGCTCAGTCACGTGAGCATCCTGACTCTTGATATTGGCTCAGGTCATGATCCCAGGGTCTTGGGATCAATCCCAGCATCAGCTCCATGCTGAGCATGGAACCTGCTTGGGATTCTCTCCCTCTGCCCCTCCCCCCATTTTCTCTAAAATAAAATAGAAAAAAATTTTTTAAAGCACAAGAGAAAAAATGTAAATATTCAGAGGATGTATTTATAATTATATTTACATAAGGCGGTTATTAATAGCATATGTATATGCAGAGGTCCTGATGTTAAAGTAATAGAAAAGCTTTTTTGTTAGCCTACTGCTCAAGTTAGTCTGTTAAGACTGAAATACAGGTAAAAGTAGACTGTGCTTATTACAGTAAGTTGGTTTATCACTTTTGATCACTACATCAGCTTTTTTTTTTTAATGTTTATTTATTTTTGAGAGAGAGAG